TTAGTCGATATCGTCAGTGAGCCTTGACATTCTTAGCACGACTCCAAAACTCGTAAAAGAGAGAAATAAAGTAGATCCTTCTGTCCTGATGCATTTACCTTTCCTATATCATCGTATGAATCCATTCCCCATCACAATTTCTTACTAACTTATTCACTTTTTTTCTTTTGCGTAGGCTCTCAAGACTACTAGTAAATCATATATATGAGATGTGTCTACCTTATATCGTTTAAGGCGACGAAGGACTGGTAGCTGAATTTTCCCACAATGCTATGAGTAGACCTTATGTTTCCATTAAATTTCAAATATCCTTGTTTCCTAAAAGGAATTCTTATCCAGGGTTGAATGCAGTTTTGACCGCTCCTAGGTCATATTAACCCCCCGGGGACTCGAACATTTTGGGAAATCATGTTATGTCGAAATTCAATGGAAACGTAAGGTCTGCTTATCTTATTGTATGAAAATTCAACTACTCGTCCTTCATTACATTAAACGAAATAGGGTAAACACTTCTCATATATTTTCTATTTAATCCCATTTACCTCCCCTCCTGTGCTGGGAGTGTTAAGCCATGACAGCAGTTTAGTCCGCAGGCTTCTTCCTCATGGTCATATCAGAGTCTTCCTCTTTCTTCGTAGGATCCATTTATTATTTCCACAGTTCATTGAGTTCACAATATCCGTATTACTCGAGGCCTTGTATTCCATATTCTTCTTCAAGCCTTCAATAGCATGTAAACTCCCGCTTCACTTAGTGGCCCCCAAAGTATGGATTCTCAAGCTGGATGGAAAGCTGACATGATGCTGCAGATGTCTTTATCACTATTCGTTATGTGCATCAGGTAAATATCGCGGATCACGGATCACGTTTATGATCAAACATATACCCTACTATCTATCGTCTCCGCAGTATCTCTCGTGCCTCTATCCCTAATACCAAGTCTTCGACTTCATTATGACCTAGTATCTGGTGAGCCAACCCCCAAAATGTGGTAGTTGTTCTACTTGGTTTGAATAGATTTTGCCTATTGTTCTTTTGTGGTTATCTTGCGAGTTACTTCCCTCAAGTAGAAAATACTTCATTGATATAGTTGTTTTTGGTTATGCTGATCTTGCTGATTTTGCTTTTCCCTGATTTTCTCCAAGTTTGCTTAAGCAATAGGCGAAGTTTTCGCCTCGTTTATTAGATTTCTTTCAGTCGATAGCCTGTCGAATCTTGC